CCCTTAAGAAAACTTGTGCTCCCCTTTGCCAACAAAACCTGCAGATCCTTGTGGGGATCCAGGGTCCTTCCATGCTCTGTCCCCAACACAGAAACCAGGCATGTGCAGGAGCAGCTGCTCACASCTCAACAGAGCCACCAGTTGCTATTTCTGCCCCTGGTCCCTCCTGKTTACAGGCAGACATTTGGTGTAACATCCCAGGAAAATTGTGGAGGGAGGAGCCCTGGGCTGACCCCACCATGGAGCTGTGGATTGYCCATGGAATCACAGAATCATTAAGGTGKAAAAGACCTCCAGGGTGAGCCAGTCCAAGCTTAGACTGAATCTCACTGTGCCCCTAAACCCTGTGGGACAAATCAGGGGCAGGAACGAGTCCAGCTAGGAAGGGAACTGGAAGCTGACACAGTATCAGCTCTRAGCAGGGCTGGTGCAGCAGCAGAACCCAGCTGGCCAAGGAGCTTTGCAGGATCAATGGAGGGAAGGAGGGACATCCCAGAACCCTTCTCCCTCCATGGACCCGCTGTCCCTGTGGGAACACTCAGCAGGAACTGCCTTCCCCACCCTGGGAAAGGAGCTCTGGATTGAGTCCTGMTGATCCCACAGGAGAGAACACCTCAAAGGGTGGCTGGCCAAAGTGTCCATCACACCCAGACCCCACAGGAACTGCACTTTGGGATGGGTTTGGCTCCAGGACAAAGCAGACAAACCAAGTGTCACCCAGAGCTGGAAAAGGAGCTGTGGATTGAGCTCCTGCTGAGCCCACAGGAGGACACCTCAAAGGGTGGCTGTTCAAGGGCTGGTCATGTCCATCACACCCAGACCCCACAGGAACTGCACTTTGGGGTGGGTTTGGCTCCAGGACAAAGCAGACAAACCAAGTGTCACCCAGACCTGGAAAAGAAACTCGGGATTGAGGTCCTGCTGATCCCACAGGAGAGAACACCTCAGAGGGTGGCTGGCCAAGGGCTGGTCATGTCCATCACACCCAGACCCCACAGGAACTGCACTTTGGGGTGGGTTTGGCTCCAGGACAGAGCAGACACCAGCCAGTTGGTGTCACCTGGGGCTCGGRCCCTGCAGGCAGCAGGAGCTCCTCRGGCAGGTCCCCAAGGCTCTGCCATGCCCACCAATGCCACCAGTGCCCAGGTGGCACCTGGCAGTGCTGTGGCTGCCACACAGCCCCATGCCATGGAGGCTCTCRTCTGTCAGGGAGGGCGAGTGGCTCCGTGGGTGCCCCAGATCCAGCAGAGTCATGTGGCTCCGGCTTTATTTGCTGTTATTGCTGCTTTCAAGTGGAAAATTGATATAATAGCAGTCCTTTCTCAGCACACAGCAGTCTGCACATTTGTACAATGTTCTTTGAGGACGATCAGCAGCCACTGGCATAGAAAAGTGACAGATGCTGTCTGCAAATAATGAGCTGAAGCAGTTTCCTTTGGAAGGGAACTTAAGCAAAGTCCCTTTGAGTTTGAAAAGCCAAAGAGGTTCCCATGTGCCCTCAGAAGCTGCTCGGAAAAGGCACTTGCTAGTGGCTCATGTGGCATAATTATTTTTTTTAACTGTCTCTCACACCAACTCCTCTGGAGAGAGGGAATGACCCAGTTCCTGTTTACTGAGCATTTCCTACTGAGGACAGGCATGAAAGGGAATGAAATTTGTGGCTGATTCTGCTGCCTCCTCTAGCGCYCCATATCTGCACAAATCCAGGGATCAGGAGCATAATCACAGATAAAGCACATCCCACACCTTTGGGATCCTCGCCTTTGTTCTTTGCAACTCACACCAAAATTGTTCCAGCCCCGGGGTGTGTGAGGAGCCTCACACTTGTGAGATTGAAGGAGGACCACTGGGATGCTTCATCCYCAGCCTTTGATCCTCTCTCCTTCCTCCTGCTTTTATCTGGCACAGGCACAGTCGTGTGCCAGACGTGCTTTTCCTGATGGAGCTCCATCAGGTGCTCCAATTCCTCCCATCAGCTCAGASTGCCACCAGAAGTGAGCCCAAATTACTGAAAATGAAGGATTCCGAGTTTCCTAGCCAGATATTTCCAGCCCTGCCAAGGCAGACACAGTTTGCCTTTAATGATGCAAATCTTGTTTCCTTTGGAATATGGACATTTCTGCACTTGGTATTTTCTGATTATTGCCCCAGTTCTGAATCCTGAGGATGAAATCAGGCTCTGKGAGCCTTTGCTCTTGAGTTCTTAGAGACATCCAGTGTCTTTCCACACTTTTGCAGGGAACTGAACCTATAAAATGTACCAGATGGGGCTTCTCTCCAGTAAAAATAGCCCTTGATAAACGGTGCCTCTCACTGGAGGCTTTAGAAAGGTCTCAGAATTTATTTTCTTGCAGCCTGACCTGTTCCCTTGGGTCCTTTAGCAGTGGAATTCCAAGCAAATCCAAGGCAGGGTGCTGTAACTCCCCACACGTGGGCTGGGATTGAAGGTTGGAGCTGTGTTCCACAGCACATTCCATCACAAATTGATCAAAATAACGAGACCCCATCCCCTGTGGCATCGGGGGTAGAGCTGAGGAACAGCCTCCACCTGCCTTCTGTTCTTATTTTCAAAAGCATCATCTGCAAAACTTGTAGTGGCATTTCTCATTTTTGCTCTTTCCTTTCTGTCTCTTTCTGCACATCCAGAGATGAGGAGCATTTCTGRGCAAATGTAGAACTGTGCACTGTTGTGGGGAATTAATTAATACTGATAATTATGGATGGATTCTGTAATGAAACACATATAACAAAGGAGATTCAAATTAAGGGGTTCTACTTAATTGTGGCCCTCCAGTGCCTGGAGGGAGCTACAAGAAGGATGGAGAGAGACTTTACAAGGGATGGAGTGACAGGAAAAGAGGGAATGGGTTCCAACTGAAATAGAGCAGGTTTTGATTGGATAATAGGAAAAAATTCTTAGCTCAGAGGATGGGCAGGCCCTGGCACAGGGTGCCCAGAGCAGCTGTGGCTGCCCCTGGATCCCTGGCAGTGCCCAAGGCCAGGCTGGACATTGGGGCTGGGAGT